TATAAACGGCCCACTGTTATCCATGCTACTTTCTTGATCAAAGCAGAAGGTGAAGGAATTTGTGAAGAAGCGAACGGACACAAAATAACGGCTTGACAATAGGGTAGCTTTAAGTAACTCGCGCGTATAATGGAGAAGAAAGCTCACCATCAATCGGGTTTTTTTCTGAATCATCAGGTGGAACCAATGTAACACACAATGTGACAGTAACAACTACGGCCATTACCAAAACTCCAGTTGCAATCCCAAGTGCTAGGGTATGTGTTGCGATCCACGATATGCAGACGTTTCTTCCACCTGCTGCTTCTACATCGTTGGCAATTAAGCTTGTGGTAAATTTCGTCGTTTCGCTGGCGGGTATATTCTGGTCTTCCACTGTTCCAGGAACTGGAACACTATTTAGTTCAAAGTTTTCATTTCCATCGTCTTCTTTATTATCGTCCATGATTGCAATTAATCGCGTTCAGCTTGCTGGATAAAGTGAGAGTGCTGATACTCGCGATTACATTCGTTACAAAAATATATCGTGAAATGGTTATTAACATTATAAAACTCGAGTAAGCTTCACAGCACAGCAGTTTGCGTTTCATTAGTGTGATTGATATATGAAATGTCCACAAGACCTTTATAATATGTCTACTGTCATTAATAATTAGTGCATGCCAGAGTAGTCAGGTATCAACAGCCGCCAAGTCATCGGTATACTTCATTGGTCAGTATCAATGATTCCCCTCCATTTTAGAAGAGTACACACAAAAACGATTAATATTAACGTAAATATTGTTGAAATCTCAAACGTATATGCAATAAACTAAGTAAACAGTAACATCCTTTCTCTTTACTGTAATTTAATAAATGCCATAACTATGCTTGATTTGAAATTTCAGAGACGGTGCATTATTTAATTTTCATGAACTAATACTTCTGATTAAGTAGCTTTTCTCCTGCAGTGACATGGCAAGGTAGATATACTTTAAAGTGATATTAATATTATTTACAGCTGTAGCCAACCAGGTGTAAAGTCAGAAATACAATATTGAAGTCAAAGAATTACAACAGAATTGCACATATAATGAGGCATACAGAATATCAACATTGAAAATATATATAAGAAAACAATTATACAGCATAATATAAGCTAAATGGAATTACTTTAAGGAATTACTGAAATAATTAACTGAATATAACGAATAATTATCTAATAATTGTAAAATTAGCCAATATTAATTAAAAAAAATATTTTGTTTTTCATAAGATGTCTTCATACATCTACATCACTTGCACTGGTGTGTTCGCTGTCAGAACCATCTCCGCTTTCTTCACCATCGGACTTTGGATGTTTTGTAAACAGTGCCATTAATGTGTTAAATCTATCTTCAACCTGTGGAAAGACATTAAGATGATGCAATAATTGAATGAATAGTTTAAGAAAGTAAAGTAAGTAAATAATTAACTGCCAAGCAAACGTATTATAATGGAGAAAATCTAAAAACGCAGAACGTTCTCATTCGCCGATGATTCTACTGATTTCAAGAATGTGTTCTGCTTTGGTATATATAAAATATGGCAATATATATTAAAATCATAAATTAATTATACATAATGTATTTACATTAGGCCCCCAAAAATGTTGTGTTTGCCTACGCGACAGACCAAGAAATCGATTCGAAAAGATGCACATAAAAATATTAAACGGGAGCAAAGTTAGTGACAGTTGAGCATGCGATGCGCCCAGCATTTGAATCCACGCATGTTACCTACTCGTTAGGCTAGTCTAGGGCATTCTTTACTAGTAGTACATGTACCTACTGGAATTGGAACTGTAATTCTACTTGACCTGACAGTGTGACCAAATAGAATGTTTAACAGATAAGCAGGGCTGTCGGAATCACACCAGCTTTGGCCAGACCACTTCTTTCTCAATTCTATCACTTTTTAAAATAAATGTTTACTTATACCTATGAATTATATGAATTGATTAATAATATTCGCATCACATGGTCTTTGTAATGTTATAAAAATGACAATATATATTAAAATCATAAATTAATTATACTTCAGTAATTCCTTAATGTATTTGAACTTTTTTGACAATCCTTAATCTTGGTAAACTAAAGGGTGCGCTCACTTATCATCTAGTATGTTAAACATCGCGATTAGTTTTCCTGTTTTGAATAAATAGAACAATTATTTCAGATTTAAATTCAGATTCAGATATTTATTACGTCAAAATGTCACTGTATCAAGATAATTAGTTCCCACGGTTCAAAAATACAAATAAGACTTATTATATCTCTACCACTAAAAAAGATTAACCTAATTATAAAATACACAAAAATTCTACGGAAGTTTATCACTGAGCCTAGGCTAGACCCCAACGGTCAGGTTACCATATTTCTCCTAGACAACTCGCGGATAAATGTGGTGGTGAACGTTATTAGTGTTTATGGTAGGGTATATGTTTAGGTAGGATAAATGAATTAAGGCTATTAGTTTACCTTTACTAATCAATGTGCATTTCTTTTAGAAATAATATATTTGTGACATATTGCAAATATTACTGTAGATCGAAATAGGAAGTTCCTACATATATTGAACACTTAGTTTATGTTAATATGCTGCAACTTTCATATATTTATATACTCTCAGGTCTAAAGGTCATAAGGTCTGCCTTGCTGTCGCAAAGTGATTAGGGAGCTTTCGATTGCACGACGACGGCAGGACGTAGAATAGAACGTAATGACGTCAGTAAAAGTCATCTGCGCATGCGAGAACGTTAAGGTCACCTCGTCGAGCAGATTCTGGAACGCATTTTGGACAAATCTACGTATGCAGAGAACGTAGGAAGCCAGGTAGGACGGTCACGCATGAGTGATTCCGTTCTAGTGTCGCGCCGTCACAGAAATCGAAAGCTTCCTAATAATTCGGAGAGGACAGCTAACCACATTGAAAAGTTCAAAGTTGTTAAAACTGAGGCCATACAAAAACAAAATTGTTGATGGTCGGTAGGCAGGCATCTTCTAGTGTAGTGTTTGATGAGGTGGAATTTATAAACTCTCTAACAACTCCCCTGTACGAACAAAGAAATCAAAGACAAAAGAATTACACACACACACACACAACTCCCCCACCCCCCCACCCCAAACAAAAAACAAAAAACAATCATAAGCCTAGCCGAATTGTGGGTGGAAAGACGATATTTTCGTGATTCTTTATTCATTTAGGGAGGGGACGATCAACAACTTATTTTTTTAAAAATTGTCTTTAAGTCAAACCACAGGAACCTAAGTAAACAATACACGCGTACAAAACAGCTAAAATTCAGAGTAAGTATCGACAGTCAATATTTTTCCCTTGATTAAGCTGAAATGTGGAATTATGTTCACTTCGTGAGATGAAGACTTTGATGATCTATGTTGTTACAGTTTTTCAGACAGGTAGGTTCCGAATCCTAGACGTTATCTGACGTAATAGGTTAACACTGGAATTTTAGGCTTTGAATTAAGCATAATTATACTATAAATAAGATTCATTTTGAAAATGTTTAAAAATATAAATTAATGTAAACTCCTAAAAAATGTTGGGGGTTTGAGTCTGCCAATATTGTCATCACCACACAAAGGTATACGGGTCAAGCCGGCCCTCATTACTTGCAATTAAAATTTAAACCCTTAAGTGATGGACATTTATTTTTCGAAGTATGCATGTGCTACGCTTTCCTCGGCAGAGGAGCCATTTCTTGAACCATGCTAAAGCTTGGATGGGTATGGTATCTATACTTGTCCACTATCACCAACTTTAAATCCTGTATTTTCCCCTGCATTGCGTTGGAACAGAGGTAGCTGCTTTGCAGGTTGCCAGCTGCTATGTCTGGGCATCCATCTAGAAATGCTCTATTTTCAAAATTTGTTCACATCAGGGCCACCATGGTAGGTCTGTCCCTTGACGGGGAGAAGTAGCGGCTCTACAATTGCCAGCTGCTATTTTCGGGCATACAAAAAATATACTTTTAGACCCCAGTCTAAGGGAGGCAATCACAATAACTTTAAAGTTTAATTGGATTTGAAAATAAATATTCCGATGACCTCGTCGTGGCGTCAGATGTGCGTGGGTGGGGTGTCCAGCTTTCTAAGGGGTGGGCATCCAACAAAATCAATTTCAGTGCGATGTAAATCAATGACATCTAGATTAAATATGCCATTGATTAGGCCTATATGCTACAAGCAGAACCACAACATTTTTGTCTGGGACTTTTTAGTCCCTAGACCTCAATCTGAGGATCGCTTTGATCTCGGGAAATATTACAATAAAAGACTAAATACAGAAACCAGCTGAAAATACTAAATACAAACTTTTGTTCCTGTCCCCTAGTCGGGGCCCTTTCTCGTATATTTCATTTCATTTCATTTATTTCGCCAGTTAAAACAACAATACAAGAACAAAAAAAGACAGGACAATCCCCTTGTCGACGACAGGATAAACAAAAAGCAAACTTAATTGCTGTAAACAGTTTTTTCCTCCGACAAGGCCAGTAACATTAAAAACATTGAATACAAAATATAGTATATATATATATATATACTGTCTCTTATACGTCACACCATGTGTGTGGTACGAAACTAAGTAGTAATAAAATGTCTAATCAAAGCTACTGTTGAACCTCGCTTTTTATTCATTTATATATATATATATATACATTATAAAAAAAGAAAATCGAAATCACATCAAAAAGAATTAGGATTTTAAGCTTCTCAAGAAAATCAAATATGCTGATGCTAAGTTCATCTCTGATTCCAGGTTGGACTCACTTCAGTCTGCATTAATGTCTCCAAAACTTAAACCATGCCACCACCTATGTCAACATCATTGCTATCATCATCATAATCGTCATCATCCTCGACACCATCATCATCCGTATCATCATCATTATTACTGACATCGCCATCATCACTGTCACAGTAGTTATCACCTTCCCATCATAATCATCATCTCATCATCATCATTTTATATTTTTTCTTGACACCCAGGTAAACAAATTTTCCACAGTATGGCTTCTGAATCCATGTAAAACTAGTCATATTCTAACATTGCGCCCCTCTACCCTTTTACAAAAAACCTGATTCACCCTTGAATCGTTGTGCTCTATTAGGTAGACCTATGTCTTTATCACCTGGTATCATCTGTCCATTGAGGTTTACCTACAGTACATGGGCTGTCTGCCATAAAAATTGACTAAAATTAAAGTGTAGTCGTAAGATCTAGCAAAAGCAAACACAACACTTTTAATAATTTATCTAGATTATGACAAATAATTCATTATTGCTTGTACAGTATTGCTGAATTTGGCAAGTAAGTGAAATTAAAATTGTACAATCACTATGTTATTCGAAACTCTACGATATTCGTTAATTTGTAGGCCTATTTGCAAATTAAATGCATCGAATATTGCATCCTGTGTATTCGTAAAATGTAACTGCATATTGTTACGTATTTCACAATACCCTGTAAATATAGACTGTCAATGTTATTCATTGTATATGTATTCATGTTCCTGGCACATTATTTATACAGTCTCCTGATGAAGTCCACTGTGTGGACGAAAGCTAGAGAATAAATTATATATTGTTAGTCTCAAAAGTGCTGCTGTTTTTTACTTTATACTTTCTATACTGTACAGACTAACGCGGCTATACTTTTTATTTATTCATGGGGAAATAGAACTTAATTCATCTATTTGTTGGCACTGATTGGAAATAAAATTTTGATCAATTTATTATTTTCACAATAGATGTATAAGTTTGTCTTATTCACATGAATTAAAATAGGCCTAAACTAGATAAGTCACTGTCTAGGGTACCATATGCTCTTTCTATAATGGCCGGATCATTTGCAAAATGCTTCCGACGGCTATGATAGAAGAACGTTAACGACCACTATTCCTAGTCACTGGAAAATGCAATAAATATCTGCTACGCTACATTTTTCAGAATAAAAACAACATGGTTACCAACCTCAGAAACACTCTTGTTGCCCAACTGTTGAGATACTAGCTCAAAAGTAGATGTGTTATTGTCCATTTTTTGACAAGTTTGTAAAAGCAAGCGATCAGCATCTCTAAAAGATATAAATTAAAAATACTGTATCGATCAAACAAAGATCTGCGTCAATCTCAATGAACACGTCATTAATGCGATGTCACAACAAATTATATTGATTTATATTTTGGAACCATAAACATTTTCACCCAAATAAACATATTTACCTGATTTGTATAAAACCTGACCATATGACTGAGGTGTCCTTTCTGGAATTTAAACCCATTTTTATTTTTTATATTTTAGCATCCAATCATTGTCAGAACAATTAAAATGTCAATATACAAATATTTGAAAATGTAGAAATCTAGAAAACAATTGCTGTACAATTAAACAAAGGATGGATGCTAGGACGACAAATAAAATCAACTAAGTTAATTTATTTCCAATGGGTCCTTGCAGAGAGAATAAAAGGTGAATATTGAATAGAGCCCGATCAGGGAAAGTGTGGAAGTATGAAGGCCTTAAAAACAAAAATGAAAATCCAGACAAACATACAAAGAATATAGCATTAAAATTCAACAATAAATGTACCCATCACATGTTTATGTTTATTATCATATGTTTATATTTTCACAATTTTATTCTAGGTCTTAGTAAACTTAGTAAACAGAATTTGAATTATATAATTTAATGTCAAGATAGGAGCCATTCAAATAACAATATTGCTACTATCTAAAAAAAAAATTTAAATCATCATGATTATTAGAAAATTATAGACCCCTCCAACTAAAGGACCCAAATTAACAAATGTTGTTTACCTTAATTATTTTAATTAGAGACCGAAGCTGCCAAAGACCATGAAAACACCAGTCCCAAAAGTGGTCTTTAATTGGAGGGAGAACTGTATTAGGACAATTTTAAGTTGGCAATATTAGTATTGAATAAAAATGAAAAAAATATTACCTAGTCCATGAAATTATGACATTGCCATCACTAGTCTGCTTAATGTTGTCAGCAGACATCTTGCATTTTAAATCTTCGGCTTCACCTTCATTAGTTTTTCTAGTGTCTTTGGTTTCTGCAGTTCCTGCATCTGATGTCTTTGATGCTTTACCTCTATCAGAATCTCTGGTTTCTATCATTCTTTTGTTCAGTGTTTCTAATGCTTCACTTTTGTCAGGATCTATGGTTATTAATATTGTTTTGTCTGATTTTTCACCTTTATCAAATTTTCTGGTTTCTGGTGCCTTTTTTTCGTCTGATGTCGAGAAGTCTTTATTTTTCAAACATTTAGTCAAGCGATCTTTTGATTCTGACTGACTAACTTCTATTACACATATTTTTACATTTTCATCAAGCTTTTCTATATTTTCCATTAACTCCCCTGTAAGATGTTCTCTAATTGAATTTATTTGATTAATGTCTTTCTCCAATGAAGAACTGGGTTGAATGACTTCATCATTGTCACCATCATTATGTCTGATAATGAAACTACTATCTGGATTACTGCTAATCACATTGCTTTCAGATATATTATCACTGCTGTCACGATGTACTTCAGTTCCACCAGATACCAAATGAGGATCAGTAGCAATACTTGATCTTACATCTAGATCACCTCCTTTAATGTCATTAACAATACTAGTTCCTGTAAATGTATTTTCACCAGTGGGATAATGTTCAACTTCTGAAATTGCACAAATTTGTTTAATATCAATATCGTTCTCTTCCCTTCCTTTTGGGATGTGTGTTATTCTTGTAACTATATTCTCTGTTTTAGTGTCCTCAAATGAATATCTAATAGGTGAATTAGTTGCACTCCTAACTTTATCAGGAAGATCTACTAATGAATTTGAATGGGACAGTGGACTCTTAGATGGAGGAGATGCAAAGTTGCTTTCATCAGACTCGCTACTTTCTTTGCTTTCCTGGCTTGAAACATCAGCATCTGGTGAGTTACTTGAAGCTGTATCAGCACCAGTTATTAACTCTGGATCATCCTCTGCAACAAGGCCATTGCCGATCAGCTTCTGAACCTCATCATCAGCCTCTTCATCATCAATTTCTATCTCTTCAATGTCTTCTTCTTCTGTTTCCACATCCCCAGGTTCCTCTTCCATCTCCATACAAGCATTCTCATTAAGGTAATCGGCCAGATTACTACACATCTCTGACAAGTTACTAACAGCAGCACTGTATGAATTTCTATCATCTTGATCTTCCTCATTCTCATTTACAACCATATTTGCAAATTGTCTGCTTCCTTTTTGGGCCTTTGACACCTTCCTCCTGGTGTTCTTTGAAGCACGACTCTTTACAGATGTGATGCCCTTGAAGGAGCTGGTCAGCTCAGCTCTTGATACCTAAAAAATTATAACAATAATATATATACTACATATATATATATCAACATTTATATATCATTGTTTATCAGAAGTTTCAGAGTCATTTCTACATTGTATCACAATTTACTTATAAAGTATCTTTTCGAAGATCCTGTCTTGTCATCAAATACTTGATCTCTGTAATTTTTATAGCAATAAGAACTAATGCTGATCAACTAAGAATGAGGTATGAGTTGCTTTGATTGGATTTAAATTCTCAAAATCCTGGTTGTGGCAACTTTTTTTTTCTCGCATATTCCTCTTTTTCAACATTTAAAAATGTATATACAGTACCATTGCAGCATTACCACAAGATGGTTTAGAATTTATCTCTACATCATACCATAAGAGTCACACAGTCAGACATGTAATTAGATTTATAATCAATAATTTCGAAAACAGAATTATTTCGTTAATAACCCCGATTTTTTTTTAGCACAGCTGATATAAACACATTATAGTGTTGTTAGAATACGAAAAATATCTGTGTCTATTGGTT